TATTGCATCTTTAATTTTTTTTCCTTATATGTGAATGTTTATTTTGGTTTATTTTTTATTCTGAAGCTTTTCTTAAGTTATTTTTTTTATCTCATTTGCTCTGCTTATTCCCTCAGATTTTTATATCTTCTTTGTTTATCTTTATGCACTTAATTTTTTTCTGTTATCTTATTGCATTTATAGAACTATATCAAATCATAGAAGGGAAAAGGGAAATAATTTGCTTGCTCCTTTATTAATAAAGATTCTAGTGTATCTTCCTTGTATTTGGTGCTTGATTTTAGTTTTAGATAGAAGTTTTTCCAACCATATCTTCTTTGTTATCTTTTTTAAGAACAAATGAATGCTGTACTTTATCAAAGGCTTTTTCTGCCTTTTTTGAGTTAATCATGTAGTTTAGGATATCTTTGCTTTCAATATAATGAATTATGTTGACAATCCTTGCTTCTCTAGTATAATCTAACTTGGTCATTATGAATGTATTCCTTTTGATAAGATTTTACTTAAAATTTTTGGGTGCATATTGGTCAATACTTCATGATAATTATTTTTTATTGCTTAATTATCTTTAAAAGATGTGTTTAGTATTAACGTATAGTCAAATTTTCATATAAATTCCATAAATGTTAAAAATACGTATTCTTTAATAGTTCCATTCAGGAAGTGCCATAAGTCTTTTACCTCTAAATTCTTCAATAATTTGTTAAATTCTATTTTTCCTTTTTAAAAAATCTTTCTATTAGACTTTACAACACTGAGAGAAGAATATTAAAATTTCCCATTATCTTTGTGTTACTATCTATGTTTTTTGGCAATTTAGTTAATTTTTCCTTCTGAAATTAGCTATGGAACTTGGAGCATATAAACATAATGTTCATACTTGTTGCCTGTAGTTCCTTTAATCAACATAATTTCTTTGTGTGTCTGTATGATGACTTTTTTTACATTTCTGATAGAATGATTGCAGCCTCTTATTTTTATTCTTAGAATATATGTTTTGAATATTAGATTTCTTTATTGTTAGCCATTGATTGTAAGGTGTTGTTTTCTTGTCCATTTTGTCACTTGCTTTTTAAAATAAAATTTTTTAATTTATTCATATTTAAAGTTATAAGAGTTAGATTGGTGTTTTTTGCATTTGTGTATCTAGAATGCTTAAAAAATTAGAATTTTTTGTTCCTTTTCCTTTTTTAAGTTAATGATATGTCTCTACAATTTGTTTTCCATAATTGACTTTGATACAACCCTATTCCCATAGGCTGTCTTCCACATATCAGTTCTCTTACCTCACTTAGCCTTTGATCTCTTCAGCATACATACCCAGTATTGGTATAACTGGGCAGAAAGTTATGAATACTGTAATTTTTCTATTACAGTTCTGAATTATTTTCCAGAAAAGTTAGACAATTTGAAATTTCCACCAATATGTATTAATGCACCTGTCTTTGCACAGCTCTACCACATTGTCTCTTTTATTATCTTTGCCAACTTGCTAAATATGGGATGAAACTTTAGAGTCTTAAACAATTATGTTTCATTACTTGCAAATTGCATAATCTTTCCCCCCTTTTTTGGCTCAACTTATGTATTAATATTAAGCAAATTTTCACATTAGTCATGATGTAAAGAAAATTGGAACTAATGGGAGGAACCATGAGGAAGAAGAAATAAAACAAAACGACAAAAGAAAGGAGAGTATGCTTCCATCTGCATTCAGACTCCGCAGTTCTTTCTGCGGATGTGGATAGCATTTTCCATCATGATTCTTTTGGAGTTGTCTTAAATCCTTGCATTGCTGAGAAAAGCTAAGTCTATCAAAGTCAGTCATCACGCAACATAGCTATTACCATGTACAGTGTTCTGGTTTTTCTCATTTCACTAAGCATCAGTTCACATAAGTCTTTCCAGGTTTTTCTGAAGTCCTCCTCCTCCTCATTTCTTAGAACACAATGGTATTCCATTACATTCATATACCACAACTTGTTCAGCCATTCCCCAACTGATGGGCATCCCCTCAATTTCAATTCTTTGCCACCCCAAAAATAGCTGCTAGAAATATTTTTGTACATGTGGGTCCTTTTCCATTTGTATGATCTCTTTGGGATACAGTCCTAGAAATGGCATTGCTGGGTGAAAGGGTATGCACAGTTTTATAGCCCTTTGGGCATAGTTCTGAATTGCTCTCCAGAATGGTTGGATCAGTTCACAATTCCACCAATAATGCATTAGTGTTCCAACTTTTCCACATCTTCTCTGACATTTATCATGTTCCTGTTTTGTCATGTTAGCCAATCTGATAGGTATGATATGGTACCTCAGAGTCATTTTGATTTTCATTTCTCTAATCAATAGCGATTTAGAGCATCTTATCATGACTATAGGTAGCTTTAATTTCTTCATCTGAAAACTGACTATCCATATTCTTTGACCATTTATCAACTGAGGAATGACTTGTATTCTTACAAATTCCACTCAGTTCTCTATACATTTTAGAATGAGGCCGTTATCAGAGACACTGGCTGTAAAAATTATTTCCCAGTTTTCTGTTTCCCTTCTGATCTTGGTTGCATTGGCTTTGTTCGTGCAAAAACTTTTCAATTGAATATAATCAAAATTATCCATTTTGCATTTCATAATGTTTTCTATCTCTTGTTTGCTCATAAATTCTTCCCTTCTCCATAGATTTGATAGGTAAACGATTCCTTGCTCTCCTAGTTTGCTTATAGTATCAGTCTTTATATCTGAATCATGTACTCATTTTGCCTTCATCTTGGTATAGGGTATAAAATGTTGGTTTATGCCTAGTTTCTGCCATACCATTTTCCAATTTTCCCAGTAGTTGTTCTGAAGTAGTGAGTTCTTATCCCAGAAGCTAGAGTCTTTGGATTTATCAAACAGTAGATTACAATAGTCAATGATTGCTATGTCTTGCATACCTAACCTATTCCACTGATCCACCACTCTTTTTCTTAGGCAGTACCAAGTAGTTTTGATGATTGCTGCTTTATAATACAATTTAAGATTTGGTACAGCTAGTTCACTTTTCCTTGCATTTCTTTTCATTAGTTCCCTTGATAATTCTGTAACTTTTCTTCTTCCAGACGAATTTTGTTATTTTTTTCTAGCTCTATAAAATAATTCTTTTGTAATTTGATTGGTATGGCACTGAATAAGTAAATTAATTTAGGTAGAATTATAATTTTTGTTATATTAGCTCAGCCTACTCATGAGCAACTGATGTTTTTCTAATTATTTAGATCTGACTTTATTGTGGGAAAAGTGTTTTGTAATTGTGTTCATACAGTTCCTGAGTTTGCTTTGGCAGGTAGACTCCAAAATACTTTATAATGTCTGTAGTAACTTTAACTGGGTTTCTCTTTCTATCTCTTGCTGTTGGACTTTGTTAGTAATATATAGGAATGCCCGATGATTAATGTGGGTTTATTTTACATCCTGCAACTTAACTAAATTTGTTTATTATTTCAAGTAATGTTTTACTCGATTCTCTAGGATTCTCTAAGTATACCATCATATCATCTGCAAAGAGTGATGGCTTTGTTTCTTCTTTGCCTGTTCTAATCCCTTCACTTTCTTTCAAATTGGGTAATCTTTATGTGATTTTTTTGATCACCTGCATTGCTACTGGTAGCCTCAGCCTCTGCCTCTTGTATTGGCTGCTATAAAAAGTCTAAAGGACCATTATATATGTGATGTTTTAAAGGATGGCCTTTATTTTACTGCACAAAAAAATACAAACAGAAAATGCTTAGTCCTGTGTCAATGTGAAGGCAAGAGAGTTCTCATGACCATACTGCTTCCTCCAGGAAGCTGCATTTGAATTATATAGACAGATTAATTCTCATTTCCCAGTGAGCCCTACCTCAGTGCAGAGACAGTCATAAAATTACAGAATCATAATATAGAAGTATCATAGATTTAGAAGAGAAAGGAACGTTATAGACCATTAAATCTACCTACCTCATTCCCTTTTGTAGATGGTTGAACCAAGATTGCTACAAAGTGAACTCCTACTCCATAGGCACTGTACACTCTGTATTAGCCCCCCAGTGAATGAATGAATTAAAAAGCACTAATTAAACACCTACTATGTACTGAGCCGTGTTTTGAGAAATGCAGACACAAAAAATATACAACATACACATATAACATAAAACAGGATAGTCTCTGGTAAGAACATAGTTACATTCTAACAAAGGCAACATATATATGGGAGTGGTGGCCAGGGAGGAATGTTTTGGTATGAAAAGTGAAAGGGATAGTGATAGGGACCATAGGGAAACAGCTTGAAACAGCTGTTCCAATGATAATGGCAGAATTAGCTTGATTATGGTTCCAATGATGGAAAGGGAGAGATGGCATAATCCAGAGGAGAAAAATACTGAATTTGGAAGCAGAGGCCCTGGCTTGAAAGCTCAGCTCTGTAATTCATTGCCTTGTATGAAATTTGGCAAGTAATTTCAAAATTCTGGGCCTGAGTTTCCTTATATATAAAACAAAAAAAGTTGGACTACATGGCCTCTAAGATCCATTCAGGTGACTTGCCAAGGACGTAGAAATGGTAAATGACTGAGGACTTAGTTGAACCTTGGTCTTCTAGGCTGTAAGAACAGCCCTTTTCCCATCACTCTCATCTGTCTGAGAGTTTAAGTGAGCAGCCAGTATGTTAGAAAAGTGGCTGTACCAGGCAATGGAGATTGGAGGAGAGGTGAGAAGCCAGAAAGCATTACAGATTCTGACAAAAATGGAAGGAAGACTTTTATCTGTGTGTGTGCATGTGCATGTATGCGTGTTCATGTGTGTGTGTGTGTGTGTGTATTTGTCCCATTCACACATGTGTGTGGATCTGTATATGTGTGTGCACATGTGAGGATGTTTGTGTATGTTTCTTCTTGCATGAGGAAATGGGCTGTGTTAAGATTAACTTCCATAGTCTTTAGAAAAGCTCATTAGCAAAAAATATTACCCAGGGTTTCTGAATTCTGAGCAGTTTTTCTTTTAACATTTGGCATCCCACACTTTAGTTTTATCATTTGGCGTCTTTTACTGCTTTGTGAGAATTGCAATCTTTTTGACTGAGTCCTTAAAGGCTTTTATGACTTGTTTGTTCCTCAGGGCATAAATAAAGGGATTCATCACTGGGGCAACAGAGGTCATGAGAACTGACACTGCCTTATTCAAATCCACTTTTTCATTTCCAGAAGATTTGACATACATGAAGATGCAGCTTCCATAAGAGATGGAGACAACAATCATATGGGAGGAACAAGTGGAAAAGGCCTTTTGCCTTTGCTGGGCAGAGGGGAATCTCAAAATAGTTCTGACAATGGAGGCATAAGACAAAACCACTAAGAGTAATGTAATAATGAGTGTTAATATAGCATCAATCAAAGCTATCTTCTCTACGAACTGTGTGTCTGTGCAGGAAATCTCTAACATAGGAAATGCATCACAGCCAAAATGATCAATGACATTGGAATCACAAAAGTCCAATTGGAGGCCCAGGCTAAGTGGTGGGAGGATGATCATCAGCCCAGCCAGCCAAGAACTCAGGAGGAGCTGGTTACAGACCTTGCTGCTCATGATAGTTGTGTAATGCAAAGGTTTGCAGATGGCCACATAGCGGTCATAGGACATGGTGGCCAGAAGGAAGAACTCTGCTGCCCCAAGAAAGATGACAAAAAATATTTGTGTGAAACAAGCATCATGGGAAATGGTATTGTCCCCAGTTGATATGCTATAGAGGTACCTGGGGATACAAGAAGTTGTGAGTGAGATTTCTAAGATAGAGAAATTTCTGAGAAAAAAATACATGGGAGTTTTCAGGTGGGCATCCACCAAGGTGAGGATGATGATGATCAGGTTCCCAATTACACTCAACATGTAGTTGAGAAACAGAAATATAAAAAGCAAAACCTGTAGCTGTGCGTCATCTGTCAGTCCTCTCAGGATGAATAATGTAATCCCTGTGTGATTTCTCATCCCTGACTTCTGAATTCTGATGAACCTGCACAGAAAATACAGAGGAAGAATTTGGATCTGGATGAGAGGATGGAGAGAAAACAGGGAGAGCAATGGGAGCTGGTGGGAAAAGGAAGTTGGTTAAAGAGGCAACAAGCTAAGTGATGAGTAAATTCATATTGTTTATTCCCTTAAGTTAACAACATGTACATAGAGCCAGAGCTTTAATTCTGAATGACTCAAGCAATTTGAGGAGGACATTTAAACCCTGACTCAGGATGTCTGTGTTACTCAAAAAATATAGCCTCCATATGTTTTTAACACATAATATGAAAAAGGAAATTTCTTAAGTTGTAATATGATAATAATATATATTAATATAATAATAATAATAACAGGTTGTACATACAATAAGACAAGAGAAGTAGCAAAGTATCAATTGAGATTATAGTCCCAGGATATCTGTGTTTCACCTACATAACATATGTCCATAAGATACCAAGATAAGGAAAGTCCCACTATTCAAGAGAGTATCTGGTCCCAGGTATCCTGTCCGTAGTGATCACAAAAAAGAAGAATGCTGGTCAGTTTCATCTGGTCCTGTAGTTGCTGACACAGGAAAGGGCATTTTTAGTTCACTCAGAGAGAAAAGATTAATTTGGGTTTTGGCCCGTATTGGGGCTTAATTGATCTTAAAATGATTATCACAAGTTACTTGAACTTTTCCAGGGTTACTACCTCTAGCAATTGCTTCAGTGTCTCTTGGGAATTAACATATTTTACTCACTCAAATATGGTCCCTTGTCAAAATCTTTTATTTTGCACTTTTTCTCAGAACCTTTCATCCCTTAGCCACAGTCTATAGCACTGGACATGAATCCAGGAGACCTAGTTTCATGTCCTGACTGTCACTGGTATGTGATCAGGTAGAAGTCTCTCAGCTTCTCAGAAACCAACTTACATTTTATGTTAAATGGGGGTTCACATACTTGCAACAGTTACGGTGTGGAGTGCCACAAGCAAAGCGCTTTGTAAGTTTTAAATGTGTTATTCTGATTCTAATGATTACTCTGTGCTAACTGGTATTCCTTCTGCTCCCCACATCATTAGTTTGCTTTTATATGTATGCTTTCTCATATGTGGTATTTTCCCCAGCATCTTTTTCTAGGAGACCACCTCAAGGCAGAGTTAGGAACATCTGACCTAGGAAGGTAAGCAGGACTGGCCATAAGAAATATTGTAGAGAAGAGGCAGATTGTCTTTGGGGTCTTTCTGTTTCCCTTTCCATGTACTTTCCCCTACTGTTTCTCTACTTTTCCCTAGTGCTCCCAACTCCTTCAGTTACCAAGGACACCTGAGCTTTCCCCCTCTCTATCCAACAGCTCAAGAAGATCCTGGCTGTGGTCCTCTGCCCAATTTATTCTGACTAAATTTTTGGAAACTGTGTCTCATTTTGTAGAAAACTTTTTTTCTGGGAGCTGCTATGTCTGAAAAGATCTCCATGGGGAACTAGAATACCTGCTTTCCTATCTAGCCTCTGCTTCTTAAAAATTGTGTTGTTCTATGCAAGTCACTTCATCTCTCAGGGCCTTAGTTTCTTCGTCTCTTAAATGGAGTGATTATTCTTTAGAAGATCCTTCAGATTCTTTCTAACTCTAAAGCCTTTCATTCTTTGATAAGTGAATTAACTATAAGGTTTGAATAGCTGATAGTGGTTTCTTCCAAAGAGAATTGTTTTTTAAGTGGTGAATGACATTATTTTTATGGGAAGTGCTCCAATTGTTTCTCTTTATAGGGATATATAATGAGCACTTTTATGAAATACTAAAAAGCTTCTAAGACTGTCCTCTTCTTGTGACTCAGATCACTTGTGAGTTATGTTTCTCTGCTTCTCTATCTCTGTCTCTCTCTGTCACTTGAGATTTTTTTCAGATAGAAAATGTGCAATCAGTCCATCTTTCTGTGGAATTGACCAATAACCTTTTAAAGCAGGGATCCTTAACTGTTTTTGTTTGGCAGCAAACAGCAGTATTGGAACCATTGTGAAACAAACCTATCAATCCTTTCTGAGAATAATATTTTAAGTGCACAAAATAAAATACATAGGGTTACAAAAGAAACCAATTACATTGAAATATGGCTATCAAAATATTTTTAAAAAGAAATTCATAGACAATCACTTAAGAGCCATGATGTTAAAGCATTCACCCCTTCAGGGAGGCATGCTTTTGAAAAAAGGGATTTTTGTCATGAAATGGAATTAACTTCAATTGTAGGATTTCTGTAAGTGGGCACCATAGGGCCACTTGTGGTTGGTATCTTTCCCAAGAAGGGCTTTTTTCATATCCTGCAGATCGTAGAAGGGTACACATAATCTAGTCTCACCGAAGCTGATCCCATAGTCATCTATTCCAAAGAGAGTATAAGTTGAAATGTCATGTTATTCCAAAAAAAGAAGTGACATCTCAGAAATTATTGTTGATTCTCTCCCTGAAATAGCCAATGTAATTTCCTAAGTTTTTGATGTCTGAAGTGGATAAGTCTGTTCACTGTGTTTTTATATGGGGGAAATAGTCAAGCAAATATGATCTTCATGGTTACAGAATGAGAAAATGTGTGATGAGAAAAACCTTTTCGTACTTACATTTCTGAAGTTCTTCATGGATGGCATCAATGGCCCAAATAACCCCAAAAGTCACTGGTGTGGCTCAAAGATGCACCGTAGGACAGACAGGTGGCAGGAGCATAGTGAAGCTATTGCCTAGGTCATAACATACCCCTTGGAATACTTGGCCTGTGAATTGAGTCTGTCAGCACATTTGCACCTGCTCCGAGGAAGCTTATCTAGACTTGACTTCCACTTGTTGCTTGTGATTTCTGGGACCTTGATCTCCCTAAGTCTCAATTTCCTCACCTGTAAATAAGGAAGTTGGTTAGATGATCTCTAATGGTTGTTATAGGTTTAATTCAAAGATTCTAATTCTATGGACTTTTTGGTCACACTCTGCTCCCTAGAACCTTATATTCACAGTCAGCTCTATGACTAATTGTTATGTCCCAGGACATTTAATGCTTCTGGGCCATCCTTCTGTCTCCTAAATAATTATACAATGTATTTGGATCAGAGATCTGGTCTCATGTTAAATGTTAGAAATCTTGCCCTGCAGCTAAAAGGAAGCTGGGATCCCTGGAAAGGGAAGGCACCATTCAGACCTATTCTGGGTACCTCAGAGGAAAAGTATTGAAATATTTGGGCAAGGAGATAGGTTTTCCCTCCTAAATTTTATTTGCTTAATCTGCTGAAGGTGTTTGGGGAAAATCAAGTGGGAGAACAAACAAAAGGTTCCTTAGGGATTGAAGTTCAAAATTGCTAATGAATCTGCCATATAATCACCATTAAATAAAAAAAACACATTAAAAATGCAGCTACAGGGGATGTGTCCACAGAGACAGGAAGGTGTCATCCCAGAAATAGATACAGTGCTCAAACAGTGAGGGTCACGCAGTAGAGCAGGCTCCTGGCATATCCATGCTTTTGCCCAAATCATCTAAGGCAGACACCTCAAACATAAAGCTTGCAGTCCAAACCAGAGTCCAATGTAATTGGGAAATATTTTTAACAAATAATAAAAATACGATAAAACATAGAAATATTGCAAAACTAAGTCAATGTACTGGCCCACTTGGATCCTTACATACAGATTAATCTCCCTCATTTCTTTTTGAGTTTGACACTTCTGATGTAAGGAATCATTTTGAAGCCATTACTGAAAAGATAAAGAGCTTTTAGTTAAACTACTTAAACATATGTAAACTAAGCAGGTTTTTTTTTTTAAAAAAGCATAGCCTTTATTTTATCACACAAGATAAAAAAGAGGAATGACTTACACCTGACTCAATAAAGAGGCAAGACAACTCTTATGCCCACATTACTTCTCACAGGTAAGGGAAATTCACTTGAGTTGCATGGAGATGAATTTCCATTCTCCAGAGAGGCACAATTGCCTTGTGGGATAGTTGTTGGATCAAAGAATTACAAAATCATAGATTTAGAAATGAAAAGAATCTTACATAGCAGTCCTCTCTCACTTCTTGCTAACTGTAGGTTGTTATAACAATCACATAGGGAAAATAAATTCTATGTAGTAACAAGTGAACTCCCTTTCTACAGATCCTAAGCAGGAAAACCTTTTACATAGCCTGCATACACTCCTAGTGAATGAATGAATAAAAATATTCATTAAGCACCTACTGTGTGTCACACACTGCTGAGAGACAGGGTCACACATACAAAAAATATAAAACAAGATAGTTGTTGACCTAAGGATCTTAAATCATAACAAGTAAACACAAGACATGTAGTTGAATAATGCCAGGGAGGGAGTGTTTGGTGTGGAAAGCTGAAGGAATGGTGAATGGAATCATAAGGGAATAAATTGACATACTTTTTTTTTGGTAACAACAGCAGAATTGGCTTGATTATTGTTTCTGTGCTGGAAAGTGAGAGGCAGTATGGTACAGAGGAAAAGAGCATTAGATTTGGAGTCCCAGGCCTTGGGTTGAAATGCTCCCTTTTTCATTTATTACATTGAATGATCTTGCCCAAGATCTTAATGCATCCCAAGCTCTTAACATGTCTTGCCCAAGATACTCAAAGTGTCCCCTCTGTTATGCCCGCTTTCTTACTTATCTTCAGTTTCTCCATGTCTACTGGCTTCTTCCTTGCTGACTACAAATATGCCCACATTTTCCTCATCCTCAAAAACCCTCCCTTCTATCTGATAGCAATTGTCCTAAATTTCTTTTGTTCTTTGTATTAAACTCTTTGAGAAGGCCATCTACCATAAGATATCTCTACTTACTCTCCCCTCATTCTCTTTCTTAACCCCCCACAATGTAGATTCTGATCTCATCATTCCACTGAAACTGCTCTCTCTTAAGTTACTAAGATTTCCTAATTGCTGTATCTAAAGGTCTTTTCTCAATCTTTGTTCTTCTTGACTTCTTTGTAATCTTTGACATCATTGATCACTTTCTTCTCC